CGCTGTGCCACGGCGGACCTACCCCACCCCACCCCACCGGCTCCGAGCTGACCCACAGGGCGGCAGGCGGGACGCACGGACCGGGACAGCGGGAGGAGGCCGGCGGGACCCGCGGAGGAGGACCGGGGAGGCCGCCGGCCCCGCGCAGCACGCCAGGCCCCGATGGAGGCCTCCCGCCGCCGCCTCCTCCTCCTCTTCCTCCTCCTCCTCAGCACGGGGGCTGAGGCACGCGAGGTCCCGGTCCCGGTCCCGGTCGCCAGCACCGACGGCCGGCACTCCCCGACAACCGAAGAGCGAGCACTCACCTGCCCCGCACCGCCGGCCCGTCGATGGAGGCAGCCGGTGCCTTGGATAACTCGTCCGGCGGGAAACAACCCCCCCCCCTCCGCGTGGCGCTTTGCGCCTTTAGCGTGGTGGTGGGGAGGGCAGCCGCGCGTGGGGCTTATGGGGCCGCCTTCCCTGTTTCCGCCCGGGCAGTAGTGGCGCTGGCACCGGCAGGAAGCGGAGCCGTGGCCGAGGCCCGACGCCGTCTCCATGGCGACCGGCGGCGCTCCGGAGCTGCGGGACTGCCGCCGGCCTCTGTAAGTAACGGCCCCGGCCGCCCTCCAGCGCTCGTTCACGGCCCGGGGCGAGCGGGAACACCTTTTCACCCCCACTTTCCCCTCAGGGATTCCGCCTCCAGGTGCGAGAAGACACCGGGGTCCACTTCAACCTCCCTCGCTCGCTGCGCGGGAGGGAGCCCGGGCCGCCCCACACCCCCTTTCCCCGTTTCTCCGGGAAGACCCGGGGCGCACCTTCGTTGCAGGCCTTCCCTCGTTGCAGCTTAGCTCCGACACCGGGGCACCGCGGGCCCGGCGAGCACGGAGGGCGCGGGGGACGGGCCCGGCGGCACCCCGGGGATCGGCTCGGCGTGTGGTCGACCACAGGCCGTCGGGTTCCCTCCGCCCGGCTGCTCCGGGCAGCGTGTGTCTGCGGAGAAAACCGCGGGCGTAACGGTGACCATCCTGCGTCTTTCTCGTCTCCCTTACAAGTTGCCCCGACCCTGTGGGCGGAGTAAGACGATGGTTTCTTTCTAGAAAATGGTTGTCCCAAAGGGGAAGGAAGAACATCCTCTTAATGAAAAATATTAAGCTCAGGAAGCAGACTTGTAGTGATGTAAAAAACGTTTCCTCGTATTAAAAAAAGCTTAGGTTGGTGCTGTACACTTCAGCTTTTATAATCTCAGTCGATCCTAGTTAGCAAAATCCCTAAATATTAGTCCAGACAAACTCAGCTCACACTATACCTCGAAATGTGTGGCAGTCTTCCTTTGACTATATTTTTATGCAATATCTTAGAAATAAAGCAACTTTTTTGTCATTTTTCATACCCTCTGAACTGTTTAAGTAGACCAGCAGCCAGGCTGTACAGACACTGGTGGGAAGAACTGGGAGTGTTGTTCCTGGCATACCGTTCCCATTAACCATCAGCGCAGGAAGCGTGTGGGACAATCGAGGCTGAACCATAAACATGGAGAATTTATTTAAAGTTTAGCATGGATGGTAGGGAAGCAAGAGACTTTCTGGGTAGGTGAGAAAAAAACGAATGTACAAAACTGCTCAAGACCTGTGCATCAGTCTGATTTTTGTCTATCCTGGTCATCAATGTCTCTACAAAACAGTCAGTAGGTTAGTATTTTCCCCTTTTCTGCACTTTTGTAAGTGAGGTCAAATTTGTAACATGAGTGTCCATATTTGTCAAATGGGAAAGACTTGTCTTTGCACTTGAGCAGTACATGTATGAGCCCTGGAACAATCTGGCTCCCTCTGTCAATGCAGTGGCAACTTCTGTAGCACCAGTGTGACTAATTATATATTTCACTTAAGTCATTGAATTATAAATGAGATGTATCAAGTGTGAGCTAATTTACATAGTCCCTTTAGAAATTAGATTTTACCTCTCAGGCAAAGGTTTCAGTGTGATTATATGAGTTACCTTCTTCATTTTGGCTTGTAGTCAGCCCACATATAACTTGGAATGGCCCGCAGCACTTAATGTATTCCCCTCAGCCATTGATTGGGGCTGATATAAGAACAAGTACTGTTGTTGTGAAGGGGGAAAAACTAAAAGGAAAATTGTAAAAGATGAAGTGATGTCTTAGAGATTGGTTACTATAACTGTGCTTTTACCACAAATGGTTAATATCCTCTTACAGACTGGATATATTTACAATATCCATTTTTATCCTTTATGGCCCAAATTCTTAAATGTTGCATGTAGAGTTTTTTTTCCATTTTAACTCGTTATAGGATTGGTGCCTGAAGCCAGCTCATAACGTTGTTTAAACTCAGTTATTTGAGAGATTGTGAGCATTTGTATTCAATAGTATAATTATCTGTAATTAGTTGTTCAATATAAAATTAACTATAAATGTTAAGGAATTATCTCTGAAGTCATTGGAACAATTTTGGAGGTGAAATGCTCATTCATTTGTCTGCGTATTCAGCAGTCCTGCCAAAGTAAAAGAAAATAGGCTGTTTAATATAACAGTTTGGTGTTCATGGGCTGCAAAATGCATAAACTGTGAAATGAAATCACTGCAGGATTATCTGGCCTTTTCTGGTATTATAATCTTTCTGTCTCAGTTTCTATTTTAATTTTAATCTATCCAGCTTCAGGTGTCACAATGTTATGTTCGGGTTAGTCTTAGCTAATCATACTCTGTCTGGTTGTAATGACTTTTGAAGCTGTTGATCAATCTCAAGCCAATTTGATAATCTTTCATTGCTAGAGGTATCAAAATTAAGTTAGTTCAAGATTTGTTAAAATCAAATGGGTATGTAGGGGAGAGCAAGCAGGGCAAAACTGCCTGAACTCAAATGCTACCTATTGCTTTTGGCAGCTACTGGCTGGCAAGTAAGCATGTAGTTCAAACTCGCCATAGGATTTGCTGCTTTTTCCCCTTATGACAGCAAAAGTAGGTAAGTGACAGGCAAGTGTGGGGAACTTACCATGAAAGTCTAGGGTGTGTGGATACAATGAAGTCATAGAGAAGACCTGGGACTGTTGTCCCAGAATGGGAGGTATAGGACCCATGTCTGTAAGAAACCAGGCTTCATTAGTTGCTTAAGTATCTTAAACAAGTTATTATGTAGGTATGTATAGGTGCTATTACTTTCACTGGATCTGGACACCTAAATATGATAAAAACTTTTTTCTCTTGTTGAATGTAAGATAATTTCTATGTAGGTTGGGTTTTTTAGACTTTTTGTGAGAATATTTAACATCTTAGTATATGCTTTATTTAAAACTGTCACATAGTATTGTGCTGTGTTGTCATAGAAGTATAGGAAAAGAATTATTTAAGGAATTAACTGGACTACTGTGTCACATATTAATACAATAAAAGACAAGTACAAATTATGGACCAGCCCCTTGTTATTTTATTCTTTTAAGAATGCAGGCTTTTAAGAATGCAGACTTTTTCACATTTAACTACATTTTTTACTTCTGAAGACAACTGGTATTTTTCAAAGTGGTGCTCAGAGTAGTGAAGTTTTTTTTGGCATTTTTTGTTTGTATTGGTTTTATATTGCTATATATGTGTACAAAAGAGCGATGCACATGTTATCTAAAAATCAGAAGGCAAGTCTTTCTAAGGTTCCTTAGCATCTAGAATATTCAGAATATTTGAGAAATTACAGTTTTTGCAAAAAATGCCTTTTTATAGTTGGAAAGGCAAAGTTATTTATATAATTCCTATCTGGACAAATATTCCCCTAGCTGGACAGTACTTATATTTGTTAAACTTCAGCATATACTGTAGTGCTGTTCTTGGTACAAAGCACTGCACCTGAATTAGTCTGTTAGCACGCTTGTTTATTTATTTAATTAATGGTTTTCTGAAAACATAGTCTTCTCTGCTTTCTTGTTTGTCTTGTAACTGACAAGAAATAGGATTCATAGGAATAAAGCCTGAAGAAAGCACTGGATCACCTAGTCCGAATTTTTTATGTATTACAGGACTGTTCTGAGTCCAGTATGTTCTGTCTGACTGTCCGTATGAAAAGATGGAAAATTCCTTACTTGTGAGAAGGCTGCTTCAACAGCTAATCATCCTACTGTTAAAATTTGTCCCTAATTCTAAACTTGAATTTTCCTGGCTTCTATTTCCAGCCATCAATTCTTCTTACACCTTTTGTCTTAAACTGTAGTGTTTTAGCATCCAATATATATACCGACATAAACAAGCACTGAATATTTATTTGGTTTTGATAAATTTAAGAGATTGAGCATGTTTGTCATGCACAGATATTTTGTCTTAAATGATTTTTATGGTTGTGCTTTCTTAATTTTCCCAATGTTTTAATGTGACAATTAATAAGAGCAATTAATTAATGTGGCAATTAATAATACAATATTTCACTATGGGGTCTCACTGATATTTGTTCTGGTGTACTGTTTTAATTCTGACTGTTTAAGTCAGTACAGTGAGAAGAATTTTTTTCAGATGAAGTTTTCTGTCAGAACTTTCGTAGACAGCTGACTAGAGAGTGGTGTTAAGTGAAAATTCTGCATTCTGTCTCTTGGGAACAATGGTTTTGGCTGTGAAAGATAAAATAATTTGTTCAACTTTGAACAACGTTGCACTTCCTTTTTAATCTAGATATTAAAAATCCTCAGAGGAGATAGGATTATTTAAAACTGACTAATGGAATTTTTTTTCAGTTTTTTAAGAGAAAGGTGTCAGAGATCTGAATGTTAAGTTCTTCCAGAATTTGTTTTAATTGGGTCAGATTTGTCAACAGTAAAAAGAAAACCAAAGTTTTGTCTCCCAGGAGATGTGGATATGATAGACTAAATGTCATAATGATGTGAACAAATGAGATGTAACATGAACTGAAAATATATGTTTTCCATTAAATTTCCACAAAAATGATTGAAAACGTCTTGGGAATTATTTAAGCAATTTACAATATTGTTTAAAAAGGTACATCTGGGCACACTGAGTACAGTCTTTTGTCGTTCATTAGCAATGTATTTAATGAGGGTTTTTTTAAGTGATAGATAGTTAAGGTAACAGACAAGTGACAGATTGTTTGTCTTTAACGATTTCCCTATTTCAGGCCCATTACAAAGCAATTAGAAATCTGACAGCATTTTTACTCTGCATTACTGATCATCTAAAGTGATGAGAAATGAGAGGTGATGAATATTAATTGTATATTTTCATATAATTATCATAAATTATTACCTTGTCTAGTGTGCTGCAGGTGGAGTAAAATCAATGGATGAAAATTCAGTCAAATATGATAATTTGAAAGATTTCATGACTTAGTTTTTGTCTTTAAAGTGCAGTGTCAATCAG